AGAGTTGGTGAGCGACCCGCTTCAAATCCGGTACGACAAGCATATACCGGTGTCCTCGTGTGCTTTTTGGTGTGCGCAGATGAGGCAGTGTTCTCAACATAGGGTAATCACCCAGATGTAATATCCGGTGCGTCATGATGCGGTCAACCCTCAGTCGACCATTAGCTAGAGTGTACAGCCCTAGTTTCTTACATCGGTCTTCGTATATGGCACATCTCGTAAGTTGGGAATCAGCCTGGTAGCTACATGCTGCACTCGCTCAATCTTTTCTACCTCGCCCCGGGTGATAAGACAATACACGGATGAGCCATACTTTAGCATTGGTCGTATTATTGAGACGAAGAGGCGAGTGGCAATCTCTTCGGACCAAGTGATGAAGCTGCGCCTGAGCGCCCAAAGCATACGAAGCTGTTTTGGTAAATCCTATTCGTGTTGTCCATGGACTTTAGGTCGTAGCGTGAGAGTACACCGAGGTCTCGCACGAAAGGCGCGGGATGCAACGGCTGATCAGCCACCGTGTAGGTTTGACTGTGCTCATACTTCACCAGCCTCATGAATTTCGACTTGACAGGGTTGATCAGATGGTTGACCTCTGCAGACCACGTGGAGAGGCGGTCGAGTTCCTGCTGAAGCAAATCACCTTCATAAGTTGTGTGGATTACTCTCCACCCCTACAAATCATCTGCGAACAACGCACGTGATTTGAGTAGCTGAGGCATATCGTTTACATGGATCAGAAACAAAATCGGCCCCAGTACAGTGCCTTGGGGCACGCCACTGCTTGATGGATACCAGTCGGTTAAATGGTTGTCCATCTGGACCCTCCACTTTCGATCAACAAGGAAATTACTGCTTCATTGGTGCATCGAACCACCAACACCGCACATCCTCAGCCTGTCGAGGAGCACTGTATGGTTTACTTTGTCAAAAGCCTTACTGAAGTCAATGTAGATGACGTTGACCGATTGGCCTTTGTTCAGCGCTTGTAACCATTCGTGCCTCGTCAACAGTAGGTTGGTAATGCACGAGCGACCTTTCACGAAACCATGCTCTGCAGGCGTCAATAGGCTTTTGACTCGAGAAGCTGCAGAAGGCTCTTCTTCACGATCTTCTCGAGCGTCTTTGCCAAAACAGCGGTCAGGTAGATCGGCCGGTAGTTATCCACTTTGCTTGGGTTAGCACTATTCGGTTTTAGCTTTACGACTGAGCATTCCCAGTCGCCCGGTAATAGTCTAGTGGATAGTGACCTGTTGAACAGCTCAGTTGGAGAAGGCGCGATGATGGCCGATAGGGACTTGAGAATCAGTGGGTGGATTCCATCTGGCCCAGCAGACTTCGTCCCATCAAGATTTGCTAGAAGCTTGCGTACATCTTCAATGCTGCAGTCTAGGCTGTCAAGTTCGGCTGGAGCGGTACTCCTCGAACTCGTTACAGACACCTGGTCACTTGCAAATACGGAGGCGAAGTGCGCCGCCAATGCGGACGCACGATCTCTACTTGAGGTTAGGGGCTGTCCATCTGAGTCTTCTAACACTGGGACATTGGCTGTAAGCCTCAGGCGCCGCTTCACGAATACGAAGATCCTCTTGGGAGCAGTTTTTGCGGCGGTGACAAGCTGCTCTTCGAAGCTTCTGCGTTTTTTGTTTTCGCGTTTTTGCAGCGATTTCGCTGCACCTTGTACGCCTTGTAGTCCTCACCAGAGCCAGATAACACGAATTTGTTCCATAGTCTGCGTCGTCGTCGGGCCAGTTTACTGTACACCTTGTCGAACCAATGTGGTTTGACTGGCCCAAATTTCCGATATTTGAGGGGTACAAATCGGGCGCACAAGGATTTCACTCCCTCTTTAATGATAGTCCAACAGGTTTCAATAGACGAATCCTGTGGTAAAGACCAGTCTATCTGGCTCGCTACTCGAATGTGGCCATTAAAATCCGCCTTCCAATAGTTGAAGGCTGGCTCCAGCGGAGGAGAATACGGCAGCGGTAGTTCCAAGCTGGCTAAGATCATCGAGTGGTCATTCGCTCCCAGAGGCTCCAAGAATTGAATTTCATGCACACGTTGCTCACAGCTAGCCAAAATCAGGTCTAAGCACAATGGGGTCGCGCGCGCAGTTACGCGTGTCGGTTGGTTGATGCGCTGTGTGCCCCGGTTTCAAATATCAACTCCGTAAACTTCCTATCGACTTCACAATGGCCGGGGAAAAGTTCAGCCTCAGGCCACTGTATTCGGGGTAAGTTAAAATCGCCCATGAGTAGGAACATTTGTCGACTCATGTGGTTGTGGACATGCGGCAACCAGTAGAAGCAGCGGCTCAGTGGACTGCGAGATATTACGCCTACAAGCATATCGCAGCGTCCGAGGTGGATCGAACACCATAACTGCTGACATAGACCATCAGCGCTTCGGTAGGCGCTCACTTGTCTCCTACACAAGGAAGACTTTATGTAAAGTAGAACGCCACTGCAATCATTTGATGGTCTATCACAGCGGAAGCATGAGTAGCCGCTGATTTCCACTTCTTGGGCGGTTACGTCGGAGTTCAGCCATGTCTCAGCAAGGCCTAATACGTCTGGTTGCTGAGAGGTTACAAAGTAGTACAACACATTACGCTTGTTCATCGGACTGCAGACGTTAGTAAAGGCTACGCGTAGACCGCGGTAGGAACAGCTGGGCGCGCCTGAAGCATCAGAAACCTGTTGATCTGAATTCGCGGAGGAATCCGGGTAACTACCCGAAAATTTACAATTCGGAGATTTGTTTGTCCATTGTCCGTGCATCGCTTCAGTCCAATCATCGCAGACTTGCGTTTCTTTGTCTGCTGGGTCTAAGTCAGCGCGCACGTGGGTCTTTAGACATTTCAGCCTATTAAGACGGGGCAATAGTAACTTAGGACTTGCCTCTTCGACAAAAGTCACCCTCATAAGTCGATTTTTGCCCTCGGTTCTCTTCACTAGACGAGCGATCTGTTTCATTTTGAGCCCGCCCTCATCCACGTCGAGCAGTCTATCAATCAGAGATTGCCAAAACTCGACATCATGTTCATAGCGCACCTGAGGATTGGAATCACATGATTCAGGTGCGTGAAAGACCATGAGGCTGCGGCGCCTCAGGTCGCTAGACATTGTTCTTGGTTTCTTTGGTGTTTGCATTTTTCATTCGTTATCACCAATTTGCTTATTGCAAATTAGAGCTTTAGTCTCAATAGAACAAATCATAGGTCTTGAGTGCGAGCCTGTCGGAACGCTAGTACTTTGCTTCAGGGATGGATGCGATGTTGTACTAAGCACTGGCTGTTTCTCTGACTGTGGTGTAGGACAGATCGAGCTGGGCGTTTTAGAGCACTTCGCTCTACTGATCCGTTTGTCAAGCTTTTCGGTTCCATTCTGCCCAAGTTTAGACTGGCATTGTTTACAAATGGTCTTCAAAATATCGTGCTGAATCCCTTGAATTACTCGAAATTGGTCCACAGACAGACCAATGCAAGAAATATGAAACTTTACGCTACATAAACTACATGTAATCGCATTTGCGCGATGTCCGACGACTTTGGAGCAAATACCACAAGGTGACTTATTTGCCATTTCAAAAATAGGTACCGATCGATACGAGTAAATCAACGTAATGTAGAATCACAAACGTTATGATAACTAGTACAACTAGTTATGATGCACTAACGCCAAATAACTAATGGGAGTGAATTACGCCAACTAGAGCACAAAACGACTTTAACAATGAAAAGAACGAAATAACCTGGCCTGACTAGGACACGAGCAAAACACGACCAGGACGGACGAGAATCAAGGCAGGATAGAACGAGAGAATTACTGCCGAAAAAGGTTATAATTATATTACTGGATAATTCAGAATCACAAATAATCCCGAATTAAACAATTCAAGACAACAAATTACGCTATATGACACAGAAAACCTGAACAAACTGGCCTGGGAGCGGAGCGATATATGTTCTTGTGCTCTGCTCAACACGAAAAGTGAGCTTCTAATCCATAAATCTGTTACCTTATGCTAAATTTTAAGGAAACAGGGCCATTGATCCTTCTCTATAATTTCCAACAAGGATTGTGTGACGGAGTTAATCTGACCCCAAAACACTGACCTGTCTGGTATGAGTGGCCATGAAGGCACCTTGGAATTGCCACCTAGCGTAGCTCAATGGATTACGGAGGTTCGCAAACCATCGCACCACCTTGCGGTCCAGTATCCTTTCAATGGGGCGCGCAGTGACCCCGAATTAGTAGCACGGAGGCAAGAAGCGATTTCCTGGACAACAAAACTCGTTGCCAAAGACGGAGACCGTTGAAATTCGATTGACTCATACACCATAGTGCTTGGTTGACGTAGATGTTGTTAGCTATCGAAGTTGTTCATCCACCGTCCGTTGTGTTCTCAATTATGGCTAAAGACGTACGTGGTCAACGACTATATAACAAATCACATTTGCTTTGACACAGCACCGTACAAGCTCAAGTGGTATTTAATGAGGTACCAGGAGACCAGCTCCGAACCCCTCACGCTCTGAAAAGTTGCCGCCAATTGTCCTGGATTCCTTATTCATCTCGTCTGCGAACAGACGAGGGTTCCTCGTAGTTATTTCCACAAAGAAGGTATTCTGTAATCCACAATCTAGAGACATGCCAGGTAGCGTGCAGCTCCCCGGAACCATCCAAGCGCCTTTCGAAAGTCGATTTAGTTAGCCTGTCGTATTTGGTATCAAACTGGTTAACTCTTGTTTCCGTTTTCTTCTATTATGGTTCATACTCATTTTATTTCTCCGTTTTCTATGGTTACGGCGATGATGGGTTATCTAGTACTTTGAATGTCATGGTCACTTTAGTTCTATCACCTCGAATTTGCCACTACCATTACTTGTACTTGCGGTTTGTTTCCTTTCGTTTGTTCCCCTTGGTTTTAATGTTTCCCATTTATTAACTGCAGACATTTAAATGTTATTTTCTTTTTTTTCGTAATCAATTTCACAGCCCATCGATTGTATGGATTTGATCCGGTTGATGTGGACTTCTACCTCCCTCAACTGGTTTCGTTGTACCAGCATTCTTCGGAACTGGCCGAGGGCTTACACCCTTACTTCATTAGTCGGTGAGTTATACATGACTTTCATGGAGATGCATGTTCTGTGTTCCCATCACTTTTCAGGTACCATTGAAGGTGCAAACTTGTGGTTTACATTTGCGCGTCCTTGTTTGGCTGCTACGTGCGTTCTGAGTGCGTTAGGTTCGTCCACATCCGCTATAACACATAACTCAAGTACGTTTCCGCAACCATTGCATAATGCTCGTGGTGCCATCTGGGTGGATCAGAATTATTTCCTTCCGACAAATGCTTTGATCGCGGTGTTTCTGGGCGTGGTTACTTTTCCGTTGGGGGTTGTTCGCGATATATATATATATATATATATATATATATATATATATATATATGTGTGTGTGTGTGTGTGTGTAGTGCACTGAGACTTGTGGCGAGATCCAGGCAAATCATCGACCCGCTGCTGCCAATGTTGCGCGTGTGCTTAACTCCTCGACGTCTCCTCTTAGCGACCGCTGGGCGGGAGTTGGGTTAAACCCTTTTTTCTAGCTAAGAGCCAGGACACAATTCCGCATGAATCGTTTCACTAACTCATAGCGTACGGCCCGCTATTTTTCGGGTCGAAAGTTTTGAACAAGACTCGTTCTCCTCTCAGGTGTGGACACTCTGGCAGTATCCCTAGTCCTACCCTAAACTATGAATTACGCCAATAAAATAATTCCACGCTGCATCGGTCGTCGCACATTGGACTTAAGAAAGGGTCGTCTTATCTGCTGTATTCAACGGGGTGGGTAAGCGAAAACATGCTACCGCTGATGTCTCAATTCTTTCTACTTCCCCCGCACGTACTCTCCCCGTCCCCGTTTCACCTAACCCACTACTTCCTCTAATACCAGTAACTGCGCGTTCGATTGCCCGCCACCGCAATTATATGCCCCCGCATAAAGCACTCAACATCGGGTACCGGAATGTGAGCACCCTACTCGACCGACACACAGGTGGGCGACCCAAGCGACGCGTGCGACTTGCCGGGATGGAAATTGTGCGCAACGGGATCGACCTCGCCTCATTCAGCAAGGCACAACTCGTTGAACAAGGTAAGCTGCATGAGGCTGCTGCAGCTTGCGCGTACTGCTGGCTGGGGAACGCCAATTCAACAGCACGGGAATATTGAGTCGGATTTGCACTATTCGACCGCATAAATGGCAGTTTCGTGGCAGGGCCGACTAGCAGGAGCCCACACTTGATGATGCTTCGTCTGCGACTTGGAAGATTTTGACACTTTGTTGCATGTGTGGGCCCAGCATGGGTTATCCTGGAGACACAAATGATTAATTTTACGCACAGTTATCCTCCGTGATACGGTCTTTGCCAAAGAGTGATTGGCTATTCCTACTGGTGATGTAAACGCGCGCGTTGGACGTCGTATTGCGGTGTCGACAGATGTAATCGGTCTATATCGTATTGTTACACACAGTGGGGACGGGGACTGGCTGCTTTCACTGCACCATTCACTGCCTGACGATCACGAACACACAGCATACACTTGGTGAGGGTGCTATAGTTACTTGGACGCATTCACGGAGTGGTCAAGCTTATCTGCTCGTGCGCCAGCGTGACTTGCGCAGTTCGCATGATACATGTTCTGCATGAATCTGAGTGTGGAACCGCTCACAAGTTAGTGAGAACTAAATTGTGCACATATTTTCAACAATCTATATGTTGCCCACCTGCCGTGATCCAGCGCAAATTTATCGTTCTTTCCTTAGGTAATGCTGAGAGGGGACTCATGTTGGAGAAGCCGGTGGCTACCCGACTTGGCGATGTCGAATCCATTGCCTCAATGAGGGACCTGTGGCACCACATCCGTAAGCAGGTGACGGCTTCTGTTGAAACGATCAGGTGTGCGAATTGTTGGCGGTCTGATTGCTTTGCTAGCAACAGTACAACCATTGGCGCATTAGCGTCTGAGAACGATGCGGTGTTCGCTATGTATATATATATATATATATATATATATATATATATATATGGTTGGCGGCATCCGCTTTCGGACTTGCCTGTCACTGTGGCCAACAACAGGACGCCTGCGCCTACAGAGGGACCATGGATGGCTTGCGCTGCACCACCCACAGCTCCATCCACACACCCCATATCCAGTGTAAACCCGAAGGAATAAGACCGTTTCATCAACGGAGCCGGCCCACAATCCTTCACAGGCAAACACAAGCACGCTGTTGTTGGGAATTAATGGCACACAAAGCGGTGGTTGGATCGTAGTCCGCTCCACACTGACTGCATGGAACCACTCATCGAGCCTAACACGGCCACAAGGACCGTGCACCCCTTCCCCTCCATCAATGACCAGCTGTCTCCTGGAGCCAGTGTGGAGGAGGTGGTGGGTAATAGACAGGTGGCACCTTGTCAACATGCATATCAAGCGCAGCCACACCGGGGATATCAAGCAACAGCCAATAACTTGAGAGAAAGATAACCGAAGAAAATAAATCGAGTAATGCATAAGGAAACGGTGACATAAATCTTAAATTAAAGAGCATACGAAATATGTCGTTTGCCAACGAATACGAGGTAGGTTCACGATGTCAGGAAGTTTATTTTACGGAAATGCTACAAGCACAAAAATGTTATCGAACTAACTATAAGTGGCTTAATCGACGTGTGCAAGTGTATAAAAGAGGGTATAAGTAGGCATTTATATGGGAAAGAGAAGCATTAGGACAAAATTGAAAACCCACCACCTGAAATAAATAGACCTGCATGCAAGCACGCTGTTAGTAAATCAAATGCAGCGTACCTACAAACGCTGTCCTGGTTCTGCCTACGTTCTCTGCAGGACCCGGCGTCGCTTCGGTAGTGATCCCGAGTGGCCTCGCTCATGGCTCACTTGGCCTGCCCGACTCAGGCACTCGCGACCGCATGTGCTACAGCACCATGTACTCGATGTCGATAGAGTACAACCCATCGGTGCTTGCCGGTTTCGCAATTGCCCCTTCTTCTCTGCATGTATGAGGTCTTTCTCCCGCACTTCGGCAACTGCCTTCGTGGTTAGATCGCGCCACGCACGTCGATCAACCGCCTTTGATTCGCATGACCTGCAATCAAGATTAGAACGTGAGTGGCTCACTTTGATCACGTCCTGGAAACGTAATTTTGGTTTCCCCACATGCCGCTTCCCAATACTCAGCTGACCATATAAGAGTTGTTTCGGTATCCGCGTCGAATCCATACGGTTCACATGACCGAGCCACCTCAGGTGTCTCAGCAAAAGTATGCAGTCCACTGCATACATTCTACTACGCCGCAACACTTCCGTGTCAGCAAATCTTTTGCCCTAACTTGTGCGCAAAATTCGTCGCAGACACTGCTAATAGAACCGCTCGAGATATCGCACATCGCGCCGGTACATCGTCCACGTTTTACTGCCGTATAGAAAAACGGACAGCACCATGGATTTGTACACCATCAGCTTTGTGTCAATGGTAAGCTGCTGGTTGTTCCACACTCGGTACTCAAGCTTCCCGAATGTTGTCGCTGCCTTCGGTACTCGGATACTTAGCTCAGTGTGTAGCTGCTGGTCAGTCGACATCACACTCCCAAGGTAGCGGAAGCGATAGGTGGTTTCCAATACTTCGGCACCAATGCTGATTCGCGGCAATATTGAAGATTGCACCTCCGGTGAAGGCGGAAAGAGACAGTCAGTTTTGTTTGTGTTGATGTTGAGCCCGAATTTGGCCGCTGTCGAAGCCAGAGCATTAGTTATGTGCTGCAACTCATCCGCGCTGTGTGCAAACAACGCACAGTCGTCAGCACCATACGGATAGTTGTCTCACAGACTAGACTTCTCGCACCGAAACGACGGATGTTCAGCAACCCACCATCAATACGGTGCTCCACACGAGCACCGTAAGCACAAGCGGCACAAAAGCACATGACACCATTGCATGAAGATATACATTAAACAGGTCAGGAGCTAAGACACAACCTTGTTTCACGCCAGAGACAACTGCAAAGTCATCCGAGGTCTCTCCACTCAGCTGCACCCTCGCTCGCATGCCGCTGTGCAGACATTCAATGAAAGTTACAAAATTACTCGGACAACGAAACTTACCCAACACCAGCCACAATGCCTCGCGGTTCACCGTATCGAATGCCTTGATGAAATCAATAAATAGTGAGTACAATGGCTGGTGTCGTTCTCCGCACTTCTCATGCAACTGACGAGCCGCAAATACCATATCCATAGTGTTGCGACCCGAACGGAATCCACACTGCTCTTCCGCCACGTTAGGTTCCACAGTCTGACTGACGAGGCGATTGAGCAGGATTCGGGCAACCACCTTGCCCACACAACTCAGCAAGTTGATGTCACGATAATTCGTGCAACAATGCTTGCTCCCTTTGCCCTTGTACAGTGGTAGCACAAGGGCATCCTTCAGCTCAGGAGGCACCTACTCCTCAATCCATACGCGTTGCACCAAGTGGTGCAGCGCAGTCACCAACGCGGGTGCGCTGTGTTTCAGTACTTCAGGCGGGATCCGGTCCGCAGCGGCACTGTTGTAAAGTTGCCT